GTTTATGTTACTTATGTTTAGAGTAGTTAAAAGTCAATAAAATTTTAATATATCAACGTTTTGCTATAACTAGCATCATCAGGCGTTTATGAGAATTAGAGTTCTCAGGGCGTTTATGAGAATTAGAGAATTAGAGTTTATGAGAATCTAACAATTTTACATAGTTATCAAAACTATTTTTTGGAAATTTCGTTTTTGGAGATGTTTCGTTCTCCAACCCATGTCTGAAAAGTTTTCCCGAGTTTCTCACCATTTTGAAATTATTTCTAGGATAAAATTAATACATTTTGCTCATTTTTTTTTTAACTCTATAAAATGAAATTCGAATCAAGCTGACATGCCTAATGTCAGACTAATATTTTAGTGTGAGCTCTCAGCTCCTGTACTCGTCGCGCGTGTTCAGTTGCGGCTTGCGTTTACTTATATGGAGGGCCTTCAGTGATAATAATTACTCAATGTCATTGTTTTTGTGAATTAATTGCCATTCAATTTAATTATGTTTGATATGGTGGTCCCAAAGCGTTTTTATATTAATTGTGCTGAAAACATTTTTGACCAGGACAATCAATTATAATTAATTTTTCTCCATCGTTCTATAGTGCTGGTTGTTTTCATATAACACTTTCTGGCTTGCTCATGGCCTACTCGAAATCTAAACGAATCATTTTTTTTATTTATCGCCAATTGATATCCATTACAAAATCAACAGCCCCCTCCCACCATACCTAACCCAAAAGTTTTTAGGTATTCTTAGAGCGTTTTGATTTAAAAAAGAATTACAAATCTTAGGTCAAATTCTTGAAAGAGTACATGAAGGAGGGATAAGTAAATGGAAAAAAGAGAAAATAAATTATAAGGCAGCAGAATTTCAGAAATTAAAAAGTTGTATAAAAAAAGGAAAATTAGAAAGCTAGTAAATAGTGTTGTAATCAATTTGAGTTTAACTTCGGATAATTCAACGTCTCTTTTGCGACAACAACGGAAAAGTTTTGATTTAAGTAAAACGTGTTTTCTATTATCTGACAAAATTTGGAAGGTACCCGCACCGAGCGCTCATGGATCATAAGCAATTACATTGCCATAATATGGTCAGAATCTATAAAATTAGAGAAAAAAAGAAAATAAACCTGAAATGTTTTATGTCAATGTAATCCATGATAGTCGATTGTAATCCATTAAAAATGGATTATAATCCTAATATCTTTTAAGCCAATATAATCAATATTGGATTTTTTCGAGAGGTTATTCAAAAAATTTACAACTTTTTTCAAAAATATCTCATTTCCTATTTAGAGCAGTTGCAATGTGTTACGTTTCATAAAATGTTACATTTCACATTAAAATTCACATTTTTTTGTCTCTAATGTTTCAATTCATCTCAGTTTACACTTCATTTTGCAGGGGGGAGTTGGGTGGTAAGGTTTGAACGGTGGTAGGGGGAATTAATTAGGTGAATTAAGGTGATTGAAACACCCCCAGTTTACCCCCTCCCCCCCTCACAGTTACTTTATTTAGCCCCGCCCCCCGTTTACTCCCCCTCCCTGCCAGTTTACCACTCGACATTCGCCACCCTTATGGTTGAACATGGGGGTATTCTTTATTGTTAGAGGTAGAATTTGGAAGCGGGTGGCTAATAATTAACCCCCCTCCCCCCCCCCCCCCCACAATTTACCCCCCCCCCCCCTCTTCCTCCCAGTTTACCCACCGGAGATGTAAACAAACTTGAAGCAGTGACGTTGGGACATGGAATTTAGTGAAAATTTCTGCAAAAGTTATTTAGTTCTAAAATCAAAATGGATTGTAATTGAAAATAGTGGAATGCAATTAGTTTTTTTTTCAAAAATAAGCGAATATAATGGCAATATATTCAATTTTGTATTGTGAATTTTACATCTTTAAGGAATTATAATGGAATATTTTGTCTCAATAATCCAATAAAATCAATTAGAATTCATGGGCGCTCGGTGCGGGTAATTAATTATAATACTCTAAAATAGATTATAGTCTGTTTAAAGTGGATTTTACGCGCACTAAAACTTAATGAATCATAATCGGTTTTATCTCAGTTTTTCATTGTCTTTTCAAAAAAAAATTAAAAAGTTGAGTTATAGTTAACTAAAATTGGAGTTATCAATTTTTTCTTAAATTTATTTGAAGTTTTTAGGCACAGTGCAGCATATTTGAAATTGAACAGCTGTTTTTTAGTGAACACTTGCTGCATTGAAAAAACGCAAAAGTCGGATTTATTTTAGGTGAGAAAATTGGTCGTTGTTTTCGAATATTTTCTTTGACAATTTTTCTTGAACATTTGCTTAATAGCGCAACATTTTTGACCTTTATTTACACCCTTTATTTTTCAAAGTACCTTCCTTTCGGGTTAATAATAAATTTGGCGATAGTAAATATGGCCGGATTTTTGTGTAGCGTTGTCTTCTTTTTTATCCCGTAACGAGCTTTTCTCACAGTTTCACGTCTGATCATACAATTTTCAGACACTAGCTGTTTTCCAGCTCTGTGCATATCTGTTTCACTTATGCCGTTTGCAGACTATACCTGAGTCAGACATGACTATACCTGAACAGACATGATTACACCTGGTCAGACTTCACTATACCTGTTCATACATGACTATACCTGGTCAGACACCACTATACCTGGTCAAAAATGACTATACCTGAGTCAGACATGACTATACATGGTAAGACATGATTATATCTGGTCAGACATGACTATACCTGTTCAGACATGACTATATCTGGTCATACATGACTATGCCTGCTTCAAGTCTGATATGTAAAAAACTTAGCGCCAAGTAACGGCAGAAGCGCAGATGATTATAATGTAGTCCACTGTAGTTTTACGATAGATTTACAAGCCGGCAGGATGTTCTGATAAAGCAAAAAGCCATAATGACTGCCTAACTCTAACTAATTACCTTGATCTTGTATGATTTTTTTTCGAGAGCGGCCTTAGCTCCCAATTCAGTCGGATAGTTTATAAGTTGTATGGTCCCAGCTGTTTTTTCATTGTTGTGTCTGAGGCATGCAGAAAAATGATCAATTGTAATAATTTTCGCTTCTCG